CACCAACGCACGGGGCATCATGCATCTGGCGCATCTATACCGCGCGGAAGAGCTTCGCGTCAACGCGACAGCAGCTATAGCTAGCATGATGACGCGCGAGGAGCAGACCGCGGGCTGCGATGTGGCCGCTGCTGCGCGTGTGTTGTGTGTTCTCAGCAGCACCTCAGCCAAATTCATGAGAGCAAAATCTGTTGCCATGCACGTGCGCGCGAAATGCAATCCAACGGCAGCCGTTGCGTACGCGTGTCAGCACCGGTATAGGTAGGTAAAGGCCCGTACTTTTTCTCGCCCGTACGCCTATACATCTGGGCGGTCACGATGAGCTGTGAACGCGAGCCCCGATTGGGTAGAATGAGGGCTCTGGATCTTTGGTTCTGTTCCATCATGCCTCTATGCCTCCCATCTTGCACTGAACGCGACCGGTATATCGCACTTCTACACTGTGACTCCTCGACACCCTTCGCGTCGCGTCGACGAGTCGTGAGTGCACAGTATCGTATGGACCGGCATAGCATGCTCAACAGGAGTCACCGGCGTTCTGCAGGGAGGACCCTGGCTGCCCTTCGCCCTCGAATTCGCCTCCTGAGCAAATGAAACGCGCGTCAAGCCTCAACCTCGCACCAGCGGAGCTAGCTCCCCACACGCACCTACACCATGCAGTACTGCACCCCACCCACGCTGCTATCGGATGCCGGCGAACCAGATGCGCATGCCGCTCTGTCGTACACGTTCAGCAAGCGGCGGCGCACTACGGCACGTTGCTGAGATCTGCTACTCGTTAAGAGCGACTCACATACGTACAGCGGTAGTCGTGAGTGTCGTCGCTTCCCCGCCACTAGCCCCCACCCGTTTCGCAGCAAGACCACACCACCTCCACCTTGACGAGAGGTGGCGTTAGCGCTATGCGAGGCTGATCAACCCCAAGAGCCTCATAGTGAGGTTGTGCTTCGCGTCTTCTCACGTCTCTGGACAACTTGCGTCGTCCTTGCCTCGCGATTCTGCAGCCAGACTGATCTTCCTCTCCCGCCTTTCTTAGCGCGTTTTCCACCCCCCGCTTCAGCTTTAATGGGTGTTGCACGGTTTCCGTACGGCGCAAGGCATGCGACGCTAAGCATCTCGGCCCGCACCAACCCCTGACGCGAGCCTATAAGAAGATCTCACTCGAGCTCAACCTCGCTCCTTACTTCCTGCCAGCTGCCTCTCGACAACAGCTCCCTTTCCCCTTAGGCCAACGCATACATCCTTCTATCCCGGACTAGCATCATTCCTTTTCCACCAGACTCGCTGGCGATCGTCCTAGGCATCGTCACTAACAATCGACTGCTCGCATCCCCACCAAAAGGACCAACGATGAGGCTCCTATCTGGTGCAGCACGAGCCGTCGCCGTTGTCCTCGGTGGAAGCGTGTTCAGTTCAGCTCCTTCGCAGGCTGTGCCTTCCGACGATACCGACTCCGCCTTGCTCCAACCTGCATCTAGGGGCGGCATCGATCTCCTTGGCTTCGATGCTGTCGAACAGGCGCCTGAATTGATCAGTCGAAGAGCGGCCCAGCTCAATGCGCGGCAGCTAAGCGGAGACAACAAAGCTTTCCCTCCTCCGCCCACAAAAGGAGGTATCTGGAAGAAGGGCTACGCACATGCCAAGAGCCTGGTGAGTAGCGGGTCGTTCGTCCAAGTCACTGAAGTGCTCCCTTCCCAATGAGTCGGCGCTTACATGCTCGATTAATCTTCCTTGTAGGTTCATCAAATGACTATCGAAGAAGTTGTAAACGTCACGACTGGATATTCCGGAACATGCGTCGGCTTCTCTGGAGAAGTACCTCGCCTGGGACTCAAAGCTGCGTGCCTGCAGGATGGGCCCATCGGTCCTCGTCGTGAGTTGTGCTTACAGCACACACCACTCCTCGCCACGCCGCATTCACTCGAGGCTTGACATCTTTCTGCCACTTGCTCTTGCTGCAGCTGTGCGTCGCGTCAGTCAATTTCCTGCCGCCATCACCACTTCCGCAACCTGGGACCGCTCCCTATTTTACGCTCGCGGGGAGGCAATGGGTAGACAGTTCAAAGCGAAAGGCGTCGACATGGCTCTTTCACCCGTCACTGGAGGTCCAATCGGTCGAAGCCCATTGTCCGGTCGCATCTTCGAAGGTTTCGGCCCCGACGTCTATCTGCATGGTGCTGCAAGCTACGAGACTGTCATCGGCTTGCAGAAGAATGGACTGATGGCCTGCTCGAAGCACTGGATAGCGTACGAGCAAGAGACGTTCAGAAACCAGTACAACAACACTGAACCGTACTCCGTCTTTCCGAAGAACGAGCAAAGTCCAATCGACAGCGTGCTCGATGACAGAACCACTCACCAGCTCTACATGTGGCCTTTCGCTGAGGCTGTCAGGGCTGGCTCTGCGGCGGTGATGTGCAGCTACAATGAGGTCAACGGAAGTCATGCGTGCGGCAATGCTCAGATCCTCAACGGCCTACTCAAGACCGAGCTGGCGTTTGCCGGACCTGTCGTCAGCGATTGGGGAGGCACATGGGACAACATCAATAGCTGGCCAAATGGTCTCGACGTCACCATGCCCGGCTCGGCGTACGACGGTCAATTCGGATACTTTGGAGGCAGCGGACTTATCGACGCGGTGAAGAATAGCACCATCCCCATGGATCGCGTCAAGGACGCCGCTGTGCGACTCTTGACTCCTTGGTTCGACCATCAAGGCAACAACCTGACTTGGCCCGAAGTCAGCTTCGACGTCAGAGACTTGACGGTGCCGACCAAGGGCGTCCGCAAACCAAGCGATGCTGACCTGATCAGAAGGATCGGTGAAGAGAGCATTACCTTGCTGAAGAACGTCAAGAGCACGAACGATTCCAGAGGCTTGCCGCTCAAGGATCCGAACGAGCTCAGCTCCATCGCCATTCTGGGCCAGGACTCATCTGCCAACCCTTCGGGCTGGACTGCCTGTCTCCCTGACGGAGGAAAGTGCCCCACGCCCTACAACAACGGTACACTACCTGCAGGAGGTGGTTCTGGATGGGCTAACCCCAGCTACGTCATCGACCTCTACGCTTCCATGCAGCACCATGCTCGCAGTGCAGCTTACGACGTCAACCATGACAATTCAAGAGGCTCGGCAGATCTGACCAACTTTAGAAATCAAGCCAACGTATCCGAAGTTGCTGTGGTTAGCGTCAGTGCCTGGACGAGCGAGGGCTACGACAGGGCCAATCTCACGCTAAGTGGAGAGGGTGAAGAACTCATCAAAGCAGCGGCCGAGATGAACAACAACACCATCGTGGTGATTCACGCGCCTGGGCCTCTGCTGATGGAAGACTGGATCGTAAGTCAGGAGCTGATGCTGCGTGTTGCAATCTCGCCGCTGACGCGCTCGCCTTGCTGCACCCTAGGATCACCCTAACGTCACCGCTGTTCTCTTCGCGTACTATCCTGGAGAGGCTGGCGGCTCTTCCATTCCACCCATCCTGTTCGGTGACAAGTCTCCATCGGGCAAGCTACCTTTCACCATCGGCAAGGCCCTGGAAGACTACCTACCTAAGAGCATCGTTGACGATCACGTCGTCGACCCCGTCTCCAACTTCACCGAAGGCATCCTCGGCGGTGATTATGCATGGTTCGAGCACACCAACCACACACCACGCTATCCCTTTGGCCACGGGCTAAGCTACGCCAACTTCAGCTTCTCAAACCTCGACGTGCAGGCCAAGCATGCTGCTGACAACACGTCCATTGCACCAACCAACGAGCGTTGGTCTTCCGAGCTGGGAGCGCAGAGCGAATCACTTTACGATCAGCTCCTCCTACTCACTGTGGACATCACCAACACCGCATCGAAGTCTAATCTGGGCTACTCCGGACCGGCTGCCGAGGTAGCGCAGCTCTACGTGTCATGGCCTGAGGAGTCGAGCGACAACCCAAGAGCTCTGAGGGGTTTTGAAAAGGTGTGGCTGGATGCTGGAGAGAGCAAGACCGCTTCGTTCTCAGTGCGCAGAAAGGATCTCAGCTCCTGGGACACCGAAAAGCAAGAGGTGAGTCAAGTAGTGATTGTCCAGACTCGTTGTACGGTCTCATTGACGCCATAAGTATCGCTTGTACGTTCGTGACAGTGGCAACTATCCAGCGGCAAATACACCTTCAAGGTTGGATCATCCAGCTCAGACCTGCGCAGCACCGCAAGCTACTCATTTTAAAAAAGTCGGATCAGAAGCCAGCTGCGCTCACAAGCCTCACCATTAGAGCGGTACTTGTCCCACGGGTAGCATTGAGGTCTCTTCCTCCCCATCAGCAGGTTGATTGCCGAGATGCCCATCATTCAGATTGCTTCGTCTTGGCGACCATCCAACATCGTCCGTTCTTGTGTATAAGGAACCGATCGCCTCACATACTGCCGATGCTGTGCTACATATGTATCTGCCCTAATTTTTGCTGGCCTTCCCGGCTCCACGTACTTTTGCTCTATCTGACAATGCTATCACATCACGACGTCCTTCGAGCTGATCGAGACGACAACTTGCGTGCCTGGCTGACAGACCTGAAATGCGCCTTGAGATTGCTGAAAAAAGGTGGTTGGAAGCGGACAAGGAGAGCTCAAGCCTGTCGACGAATGAAAGAGTGATTGGTAGCGGGCAAGGGAAGCCCGAGTCTGTCCACGACGGAAAGGGGTTGGAGGGGGGAGGGGGGGAAGAAGCGTACAAGAGGGGCTTGAGGCTGACGAGAAAAGGATGATGGGAAGCAGCCAAGACGAGCTCGAGTCTGGGCTTCGGAAGCTGGAGGCCGAATGGATGACGGGGAACGTCGTGCAGGGTCAGCGTGTTGCACGGGCCGATGATGCAAGACGTGGTACCATGGCGTGCAAGCTTCGACACCACAATTTGCTTCACTCACCCCCAACGATATCTTCACAATCCAGACTCTTGGAACGAAGTGGGACGAAGTCCAGCCAGAACGCCAGCCATCGCTGTCCTGAACTCGTGCGTGTTGTATCCGGGCCGGCAGAGCTCAAGGCCAGCGTGGTGTTGGTCGTCTGCCGTGTCCATTGCATCTCCCAGCCACTCGTTCCAGATCTGTTCGAATTGCAGAGCGACGTTGTCGACAAGCTCCAGTGCATTTTCTCCGCATTGCCAAAACTCCATAGACCTCTCGCAAGCTTGATCATACTTGTCGATGAGAGTCCGCGCCTCAGCAACATGATTGCGCATGCGGTTTATTAAATCGGCCGAGCAATGCGTTTGCTCCAGGTCCTTCAAACACCCTCGGATGCAAGCAAGCTCGACCTCGCAAAACAAACTGACTTTGTTTATGGTGTTGAGGGGATTGTTGCGCATCTCCGAGAGCAGTTCCTCCGGTGCACCGCACGTCTTGCCTGCGATGTCCTCAAGCCTGGCCCAGAATCTGTCTAACGCTGCCTGCTGTCCTGCCTTTCCCAGCCGCTGGTACTCGTCGGCGTTCTCTTGAGCCTGATCACGTAGACGGGAAATCTCCAAGGTGAGAGCAGTGAGTTTCTGATGGGCGAAAGCAAGCAAGCTACGCAAAAGATTGGAGCAGGAGACGGGTGAGCAACGTGATCGGAAAAGGCCTTGAAAAGGGAGCGGCGGCGATAGCGTTGCAAGTGTGAATGATACTCACTAGAGAAGGGCCCAAAGAAGGATCATCATAAGGAAAGCCATTGTGGCGAAGTGATGGTCTGTGTTTGTACGTGACAGCTGGAGGATGCGGCGTTGAAGGCTTCTGACTGTCTTGCGTGACGACAACGTGAAGATGGTGGTTAGGGACTCGGTGATGTGAGTCGATCCGGCAGCACCAGGGTCCGCTCTGATCCGCTCCTCGAGTGTGTATGCCTCAAATGTGAAACGAGCGTTGTGGGCACCTAGCCAGTGTAACAGCGCATCATAGCCAGTGGGAGTCGACCGAGCATGGATTCAAGTGTGCCCCTTCAAAATAGCGCAGTGGTGCTGCCTCGCACAGCAGGTTTAGAGACCTCGCATGCTTGAAGTGACGAAGTGACCGTGTTGATGCAGCTAGGCACTTGGCCACTACTTGCTGCCTCGATGCTAGCTTTGACAATCCTAGTGCGTATGCTGGTTCCGCTGACCAGCCTCAGGTGCAAAGTGCACACTGATGAGAGTGTGATCGGTGTCATGTCGAAGTGAAGATCGAGCGGTGCTCAAGCATAGCTCAACGGTTCCTCGCGCCTCCCCCTGGCAGGTGTGATGTCATGCAGAGAGTGCGGCACAGAGCGTTCCCGCGCCTGCTGGCCCAGCGCGGAGGGACTCACGTCAAGCACTGACGACTCTTTGACCATCCAGGTGGCAGGCCTGCAGCACCCTCACAGCGCACCAATCGCCACGTCTCGATCCGTACAGACATGCCACAGCTGACACGTGTCTTGTTTCGAATGATCGCTATTACAGTCATTTGATTACGGATCGACGAAACGTGATTGAGCTTCGCGCCATGTCGCTCTGACCCTAAGCCGATTCACGCTCGATGCCCTTTCTCGACCGGTATCGGACTATCAGCAGTGACTACATCGCTCATACTGAATAGCGGCCCAACGCGGCGGTGCACGATGTCCAAGTGGGCGTGCCGCTTATGCTGACAGTGACAAGCGATGTAGCACGGCGCTGACGGTTCTGTGAGCGCCAATCAGACGCTTGAAGATTCACAAACAAACGCGGAGTCGATAGTTTGCAATGAGAGCGAGACTACTCGCACAGACGCACAGGACAAATACGGACAATCTTGCGAAAGTTTAGAGGCTGAGAGTGGAGTGTGAAAAACGGATGCAGCGCGAAGATGCATCGGGAATGAGATGGGACGAGATCGGGGCATCGAGACAAGCTGGCAGTACTGGAGAAAAGTGAGAGGCGGGGCGGGTTCGTGTAGCAGGAGGGGCGAATGTTGCTTGCCTTCCGGGGTCGAGCACACTTTGCTGGAAGGTCCATTCGGCAAAAGAGTGAGCGAGTATACTTCCGCAGTGGGCGATCAGACACAGCTACTGGTCACCTTGGGAGAAGGTGAGGGCATGAGGAGGCGTCGGCGCTTGCTTCAAACAGCAGGAGTCGTGGATGCTCACGTGGCTTCTGCGACTGGTCTAATGGGAGATCCGCTCTTGCACTTCCTGGAGGAAGGCGGTGAACTCCGAGACCTCGCGCAGGACTTGAGCGCCGATCGCGTCTACCTCTTCAATCCTAGAACGTGCCATCCTCTCCTCGTGTTCTTTCTCCACCTTTACTTGCCAGGCAAGACACTTGCCGATGGAGACCTTGCGCTGATTGCGCTGCGCCTCGCGCACCTCTTTGTGGCAGAGCTTCTGGTGGTGCATCCACTCCTGGACCGTCTCCTCGCTGCGAATTGCGTGAGATCTAACGCCATCGCCCAGCATGTTGACGATGCGGGCGACTGTTCGCGTGGTCTCCACGAACGTGTCTTGAATCAGGTTGCCAGTGTGCTTGAGGACCTTAGCAACCTGACGCTGTTGCTGCTCAACGACTTTGATGGACGTCTTGAACTGCTTATCCAGCTTTTTGCGATATTCAAGGTTGAACGCCTCGCAGCTCCCGCCACCTTGCTCTTCGTTCGTCAAAAGTTCCGCTTCGACGGTCGCGGCGCCCGTCACTTGCACCCGAAGAGGCTGAGGCTTCTCCAGCCTGTTCTTCAATCCCTCGTTCTCCGCGCGAAGAGCAGCAAGGTCCATCTCTTGGCGCTTGCGAAGAGACACAAGTTCAGCTTTGTGTTGGGCTTGAAGCTGGGCGAGCTCGCCACTGAAAGTGAGGCGGAGATGCTGCATCTCCTGATGCTGGTCAGCAATGACCTGCTGAGTCTGAGCGTGGAGCGCGTGTTGAACTCCTTGCCAGCGGCGAATGAACCCAATGTGGGTGTTGCTGAGCAAAAGAGCCATGGTGCGATGTCAGCAGAGAGTCCGCGATT